GGCCCGGTGACACGATGGAATTAAGAGAGCTCAGACCCTCACTTATATAGAGGTCGGAACATGTCATAAGTATAAATAGATACACGCATAAATAAATGTAGGAATAAAAACATGAATAAATACAGGAATAAATATGGTCCAGTGTTTTCAGTGAGATTTAGTGTGTGTGCTGTGGCTCAGCTGGAAAGCAGTTGACTCACGACCGCAGGGTCCCTGGTTCAACAACTGGTCAATACGTCTTTTTTGTTGTTTATAAAAGCTACAGCTAAATGAAATAATGTAGTTAATAAATGTATTCTTTGATATGGTTTAGCCTTTCTCAGGCTACAACATGGTTAAATTTACGAAGGAATGCAAATTCCTCTTTGCAATGTTTACCAGCCTCCTTAGGCTTTTCTATCACAATCATTCAACTGGAATAAAAACAATATTGTTAACATGAAGATATGATTTAATGTTCGTTGTTTAGATGTATTCTAAGGCTTTACTCATTGGGAACTCGGTATGAGATAGAGCACACTGTTGAGATGTCCAATCTGCCTGTTTTACACACTTTGACCAACAGGGGGTTTGTGTTCAAATGAAGCCTCATGAGATGAACCCTTTTGCGAACCAATTGGCTGGAAAGCTTCAAAGCTTCATAAGGCTTCATCTCGCCATCACTAAGAATAACCTGCCGAAAGTGCCGATGCTCCATTGCGGAGGCTCCGGTAGAAATGGCCGGGATTTGCGTTTTTACCCCCTTAATGTCTGACCAATGGTTGAACAGCATTTCCGTGCACATGACTTGTGTTTAAAGTTTATAGTCCGTTTGAGTTTTGCCCGTGTGAACGCAAACCGAACCTTCTGAAAAATGAAACAATGTAACAAACTGTGGTCTGGTGCGCACCAGAGAGCGGACTATTACGTGTGAATGCACCCTTAAATTCTGCTGTGATAAAATGCCATCCTGTTCTAAACCACATCAAGGATTATTTCTGAAACAGTATGGAGCTCAAATGCTTTTTCTCTTGCGGGTTTATCACAAAGTGAGTTCCTTTTTTTATTTCCTGCTTTTTAAACACATGTGCTCTACAGCAGAGGTTCTCAATTGTTTTTCAGCCAAGGACCCCTTACAAGATAGAGAATACACCAAGGACCCCCTCATTCTGATTTGTGATTTTGGGCTATATAAATAAAAATGTACTTGATTTGACTTGTATGTCCCTTGGAATAATCTGACGTAGCCTATTTTTTACACTTCTATAGTCTTAGTTATGTGAAAGAACAACACAAGAGAAATGTATTAGAAAGATATTGGATATGTATTAAAAATATTTGCACCATCTCAACACAGAATACCCATAAAACAATCAATCAATTAGCTGCAAGTAACACTACCTAAAGAAAATATCAAAGGGAAATCAAGAGAAAAGTGATCATTTGAAGTGCATTTCAGAACATACACACACACACACACACACACACACATACACACACACACAGGGGTTAAAGTGGGCCGGAACGATCCAGAACAGTGTTCCGGCACCTTCGATTAATAAGTAAATAAATCTGATTGGCAGTTTCATACATAATAATGTCAAGCGAGTTCACAGGGCTGCCAACTCTCACACAATTGACATTTTTCACACGCTCTCAGCCACAAGTCCGTTTTCTCAAGCAGTGAAAAACAAATTCATAACTGATAATGTCATGGTGCGAAAAGAAGACACTTTTGCACATTGCGCAACAGCAGCACCATGACCATCTGAATAGCGAGAAATATACACAAATGTATTATATTGTAACTTATTCCCATGCATGTTGCTCAAAGTAATCAGTCTCACTTCTGCGTCTCTCCCTCTCCTCTCGCGCCATGTGCACCAGGCAGGAGTGAGAGTGAGTTACCATGGTTACGGGGACGCTCTGTGTCTCTGTCGCTCTGAAACTTCTCGCGATTCCCAATAATACGTTTTTAGTAATATAACATAATTTGACAGTTTTGGTTAACATTATACAGGGTTAATGTTTCTTGATTAAATCCAAAGAGGGCAAGGTGGTGTAGACTAGTGGTTCCCAAACTTTTTGTGCCCAAGGCACACCAAAGGACAAGTAAAAATCTCAAGGCACACCTATTGTGCAAAATAGCCCTTATAACACGTGTTATCACTCATATCATGTAAAATATCTGTAAATGTGCATAATTTACTAATGCCAAATAAAATGATGACTATATTACTCATGAAATATTTATTAATGAAATATTTCAGAAATTAATTTGAAACTTTATCAAATTGGCTTCATCAAAGCAGCAACACACTCATTTAAACCAGACAGGTCACAACATTAAAAATGAGGCAAAGGAGTCTCAGCAGAAATTCAGCACAGAGAACTGTCAATGCAAGGAAGCTGCATTGTCCATGGTCCTGAACTACAAATTATAAATGTAACATTTCAGCAATCAGCATTGAAACATGTGCTATTGTAAATATTTTGCCGACTTACAAATTAGTGAGATACATGTGCCTGTCGGGGCGCGCAGAATTTTGTAATCCTTGGTGGCACTGAGGAGAGGGGCACTCGCAAGTCCTGTTCAACAGAGAGCCGTGACCTCCTGTTGTTCTTCATGTAAATCAGAGTAGAGAACGCCAACTCCAGAGATGGGGTCGTTACTAAAATAATGTAATATATTACATATTACTTTTTTTTTAAAAAGAAGTAATATATTACACTACTTCGTTACTATCTACATAAAGTAACTCGTTACTTTACTCGCCGAGCACGTACGAACTGCAGATGCGTGAGTGGCAATAACTTTCCTTACCAGCAGGCGGCGGTAGTGTGTATTTGTCATTCAAAACAGGCAACAAACTGGAAGACAGAGAAGAAGAACAGACATAAACAATGATATAAACAAACAACAAATAGCGTGTGCGTTAGCTTCACCTTAGCATGTGTTCTTTGCAGGTGTTTGTTGAGGTTTGACGTGGTGTTTCCAGCAGTGGATAACAGCTTCTGGCCTGGACACAGTTTGCACCTCACCGTCACATTCCTGTCTATTCTTCGGACGAACTCAAAATAATGGGCATACCTCCACCCCTCGAAAGTTATCGCTGACTCAGCCATGTTTATGCAGCACTGCACGTGGAGATGTGAACGCGCAAGTCGCGCAGATTGCGTACATATAAAGCTACAAAGTACTGATATAGTAAATTAAAAAATAATTATTTTTGTGTAGTTGTATATTGCAATAATAACGTATGGAACTCCGGTTCAAGCTCCGTGCTAGAGCTTTTTAGGTTCAGAACCAGTTCTTCGGTTTAGCTGTGGCTCTTTTCACACCGCCCAGAGTCCGACTGGTAATGCGTCGTTGCTTCATCGTTTGCGTCATGACGTAACCGTTTGCGTGCCTGCTTCATAAAGCCAAACCGCGCGGATGAAATCAGTTGCATTCATTTCTTATGGCTCTATCTGCAGCTTTTCCGGAGTCATTTATGTGGTTTAGTTATATTCTCTGTACTCGTGTCAATAAAGGTTTTTTTAAAACACAACTGCTTCCGAGGTCGGTCTTATTTCTTAAGGTGGACTGAACCATGAGTGTGGAGTAACGTTGTATCTTTAATTTAAATGAACTGTAACCTTCACCCAGGTATGTAACAGCTGTTCTCAAATGAACACGTGAAGTAAAGTTGATAAAGGTGATCAACGTGAATGCTCAGGTTCCACCTTAACACGCAGACACGTTGCTTCACCATGAGCAGAAACCTTTATATATACAGTCTATGGCAGAAACACTGAAACTCTGAAACTCTGGTTAAGTTTCTCCATCGTTGTACAAACTGGATAAAACGCGGGCTTTTTGTTGTTGTTCAGGAGTTGATCTGTCTCTGCCCCTGCCCCCGCCTCGGCGTCAGCGTGACGTATGTGTATGCGTAAGCGGCGCTCTTTGACTGACGTAACAGTTATTGTTGTTTCCACGGTAACGCGCTTGATTTTTAAATGTATCTATTTGTTAGATTTGAACGTAATCTATGAAATATTTTAGATTTAAAAAAAAAAAGATTATTTGTTGAAAAAAAAAAAAAAATGATATGATAATTTAAATTAATGAATCTGAAAACTTTTCACGGACCCCCTGGCAGAGTGCCACGGACCCCCGGGGGGTCGCGGACCCCACTTTGAGAACCACTGCTCTACAGTACAGATTAGCTCTGAGTGTTAGCGATGCTTGCTAATGTAAACAAAAACGAGATTACGTCCAAAACACGTCAGGCATTGTTTCTGATAGCAACTTTCTGTGGGTCCGCCACCAATTTCACGTCATATCGGCAGCAAATCTGTATCCGCTCGTTGTACACCCGTTTTTTAAAGATTTGGCTGGAAAAGAGAAAGAGTTTTATTTTCTGACGCTACTTGAGTTCCCCGACACACCGGGGACACATATTTATGTATAAAATACATCAAAAAGTGCATTTTGCATGATAGGTCCCCTTTAATGTTATGCTTACAGGTTTTTTTTGCTGCCCCCTAGTGGCCAAACAAATCTAAATGTATTTCTCTTTAAAGAGTCCAAAATGTGAAAATGTATTTTTCATGCCTTTAATGAGTTTATAAACCAGCAGGTCTAAAGTGGGACCACACAGAGCTTCTTAACTGTCATTAACTAAGTGATTGACTGACTGATTGATTTATTGATCGGTTGATTCAGCACTAATCTGAAAGCATTTCATTTCGAAGTCTATTTTTAACAAGCATGTTTGTTGAAATATATATATAAATATATATATGCATTGGATTTTTTATTTAAAATGGCCTCCTCTGGGGAGACATTCTGAACTGTGTTGACCATCAGAACCATTGCCACTGTGTGACCATCTGTCCATCTTGCTCACGGCCAAATCAGTCAACTCTGATCTTGGCACTAATTCAGCTGGAGAACAGGGGTCCCTTTCCTGTGTAAGCCTCTCTTATTTTTCTGTAATGCGCGTGGATCCTTTCCTCTTTCCAAAAATCTATTTACTCCCGTCGTCTAACTTTCACAGCAGTGACGTCTAGATCGCAAAGGGATTATGGATTAGGATGTGCAACCGCGTAGCGACATTGCATAATTAACTCCGGGATGAGGAATTTAGTTATTTCTCAGTCGCGTAGCACACCCCGGTTTAAATGGCACAACGTGGGCGGTGCGTCGACGACATGATCTGGAGCACGGAGCGCAGCCGGCACTCACACACCGGATAGGAAGCGGTGGGACACGATGGCTGTGTAGCCGGCGGAACAGAAAAACGCATGCAAAGGGAGTTTTTGGTCCGGGGCCAGCTGTGAAGGGCACCGTGGTTTCTGTGTGATGGTGCGCTTCTCTCTACAAAGGTGGATTTGGTGACTTAATTTCAAGAGAAACCAAAGGAAAAGAGAGGGAAGCTGCTCACCTGAAGAAGAATCGTCTTAATGGATCATCTGTGCTGCTCATTCACCACGCGTCTCTCTCTGTTGACAGAAGTGACATTTCCCACAGCAGCAGCATCACATTCTCTGCACACATCGTGCTACTTTCACAAGTGATTCAGGGGATAGTGAAGAAACATTGTTTTTTAAAGTGACAAGAAGACATTTAACGTCCCACATGAACATTATGTGAAAAATACAGGATTGGAAATGCGTCGCAAATGCTTCGGTCTGCTTGAGGTAAGTTATTTTTGGCTTTATATCCTAAAACCCTAGTCTGTAGTTTAATTAAAATAGCTTAATAAAAACAACTGGATCTTTATTCTTCGCAGGATTTCAGCAGAGTGTAATCTTGATGCGAAGGGATTTATCAGCATCACATCCAGATGTTAGTTTTGGGATATTTTCTCCATCTCGGAACTATTTAAAAATCATAATACCCATTACATGTGCTGAACTAAAAGCTTTTGGAGCAGGAAGGCTGAGTTTCAGCGTAAACACACAGACATGGAGCTGTATGGGTTTTACAGTGCATGAGAAAAACATCCCAAGTGGCACGATGCCTCCTCTTCATGGGACGCGGGGCTCAAATGCTGATGCTAAAAAACCTGGATTTGGGACACTGGAGATTAGAAGTGTTAGTGCAGCAAGTGCATTGCTCCACTTCCTGTTCTCATGTTTGATCCCTCAAAGCAAAGTCTAATTAACATTGTTAAGTTGTTGAGAAAGGCTTCTCTGACAGTCATTATAGTGTTCTGGACTTGTGGTGCAGATGCTGATGTTGCTATGAATGGCAGCCTGAGGTGAATCACTTAATTCCTCCTACCTCTTGTGTGTGAGGAGCCGCACTAAGAATAGTCAATAATCCTCTGAAGCCTTCTCAGATCCCTCCTGCATTCTATTCGTGTGTGTGTGTCCCCCCCCCCCCCCATTGTTTGTTTATCACCTGTCTGCTGGGATGCTGTCAAAAGGTAAAATGACGATGTCACTGAGGTTCATTGTTTAAGGGCTCTTGTCCCTCAGTATTTCTTAAATACTCAGATGTGTGTGATTTTAAAGATAACAAAAATGCTATTGCCATGCATTTTTTCCATGTAGCAAACACAATGTGAAAAGACACAGAATCAGAAAGCACAATCCTCCCTTTTTGTAAAAAAATATAAACAATTCTTATGATGATAATGAATAAAATAATTAAAATATTGCTTATCTATTACTCTGTAGCCCCAGCGTAGACATGTACTCTGTGCAATTAAATATTTTCTCGAGTGCAAGAGTAATAAATACTTAGACAAAAAGTACTTGTCATGGATCCCGGGGATGAATAAAGTCTTATCTTAACCTCATAGATCAGCAGAAGAACTGTCACATGTGTGCTACAGTAGTCAGTAGAGTAAAATGTAGTGAAGTGGGAGTTTTAGGTAATATGACATAGAAATTCTCATACCTCAAAACAGTGCAGAAGTACTCCTACTTTATGGAAATATTGTACCTTTTATTCCACTATAAGTCAGATGTATTTAGATTTGGAATGATTTCTTTCTTTATTTTCGTGTCGTGCCCAACGCTTTACATGACACCAAAAAAGTGATCAACATTTATTTTCATTACAAAATGACAAGCTGTTTTACTACCCCATCTTGAATTTGATTAAATTAGATATACTTTGCGTATCCTAATTTGGGAAATTGTTTTGTCTCAGCAGCAATTAAAAGAAATAAGATAAAAAAACGATTGATTCCTCTACTGGTTATTTGTCATTTGTTTTGGTCTATGAAATGTCAGAAGATAGTGAAATATGTACACCTTGATTGTTCAAAGTCCAAGGTGGCTTCTTTTAATGTCAGAGAAAAGACAGAAATCTAAATGTTCTGCCATTTTGTATTAAAGTCAACTAATCGATTTAAAGACTTATGGTTGCAGCTCTAGTTCACTACATTTATTAAAAGTGTCTAAGAAAGAATACACAATGTTGAAAATACAGAATAAATTACAATAGTAATAGACCAATCTACAAAAATAAAGACATAGTGTAGGATACTACTTGCAAATATTCTACCTTCTACCCCAAGATTTGCAGGTAAATTCTGCTACAAAAACAATGTAGAAGAAGTTTATCATCTGTCCTCCACTCTCAGAAAACAAACATAAATGGAGGTCATTTCACTTACATATAATTCATCCTCACAGACAGGACAGTACATCAGAAATGTAACCCTATTCTCGATTTCTCCTAGCTCATCTTCATATTCAGATTATTGTCCCAGAGAGATATTTCTTTTCACAGCCAGTGCACAGAAACACAGATGGATGTACACATAGGAGTACAAGGCCAGCATACCAATATAGTACAGTGCATAGCATCTTCATGTATGCATTCATTAAATGATGCCGGCTGTGTCAGCGAGGCAGATTGTTAAAGGCCGCCCATGCAGGAGAAAATAACTCCTTCTGGAGCGCCTCTCCATTTAGAAGTCCTGTATCCCCCACGGATGGGAGTGATGCGAGGTGTTGGGCTTTTTCATTATTGATTCAACTGTCTGTTATATTCTAGTTTGATAGGGTCTATGAAATGTCAGAAAACAGTGAAACTGTCAGGGTGAGTGAAGCAAGCAGGACCCAAATGCAGATTTCACAGAATAGATAATACCTTCATTTCAAGGCTAAACTAGAACAAACAGAACACTACCCCGTGAACACAGTCATAGACATACAATGAACCAACAATGACAGACAGAAAAACCAGAACTTAAATACATACAAGACTAATCACACAAACAAGACACAGGTGAGGAGGGAGGAGAAAACAGGGGCACCAGGTGAACACAATCGGGTAATTAGGTAGGAGGGAAAACAGACAGACAGCAACAGGCAAGACAGGGGGTGAAGACTTTTCAAAATAAAACATGAAACCAAAGACAGTACAAGACAAGACAAAACAACACAGACAGATCGTGACAGAAATATGTCGACTCTGGTTTCTCAAAGTCCAAGGTTTATGTCAGGGTAAAGCCAGAAATGTATCAAATCAGATGTAGTTAGATTTCAATGAGTGATTTCTTCATTTTCTTGTCATGCACACCAGCGCCCTAAGCTTTACAAGACACCAAAAAAGTGATCAAATATTTAATTCAATTATAATATGACTAATCATTCCCCGTCTGAGATAAGTTTAGATATACTTTACTCATCCCAGTTTGGGAAGTGACTGTGTCACAGCTGCAAAAAGTTAACAGGTGCTAATACATGGAATACAAATAAAGAAATATTGATACATCTGCCGGTTATATTCGTTTAATATGGTATCGATTAGTTGTCTTGTCTTTGTTACGGATGTGATGAGAATCATTTGATATTGCGCGTGAGATATGTGACGCTCGAATCAGAGCTCTATGTCTGTTTTAGACTGGGTGGGGAATCTAGATATTCTGCGGACAGTGCGTGAGACGCTAGGTTTGTTTTTGTTGGAGATGGCGAACACAACGGCAACTGGACAGCAGTATCAGTGAAATTAGCCTTTTGTTTAGATACAGCAGGATGTGTTGAATAAAACTTGAGTTTAAATACAGCATATGTGTTAGATTAGACTTCACCTTAGCTAAGGGGGCTCTCGGTTTAGTCTTTCTGGGATTCGATGCGTTGATCGAAATGGAGGTTATTGTCTGTTGTGACATGAATGGAAGAGGTCCAGTGCGTGGTGTCTTAATGATGAGGCCTTTTTTCCATCTACCTGCAGCTGTAGCCAATTATCAGTGCAACGTTCTGCACTTGAGTTGCATCTTTTTTGCATCCAAAACATATGATCAACTTCAAAACATGACTCATCGTTTTATCTCCCTCTTATCGAAGCATTGTCTGACAGTCTGGTGTGAATATTTTAACCTGCTTTCAATGCAAATCCACTTGTTTCAAGATTTTTCCTCCGATCATCCTTTTTATTATTTAAGTGCTGCTTTGTTCTTTGGTGTTTCAAAGCATTGCATTTGTTTTCATGGCCTTTCACAGAGGAACCACTCTTGACACTATGGATATCATAGAAAACAGGTGCAGACATATCCAAACTGCTTCACTGATTTGAAATGAGCTCTGTAAACTGTCAAATAAAGAAAATAATTGACAAAAATAGAATTAAAACCATTACTAAGTAATTAACCGTGCAGGACATCCACAAGGGTAAGTGTCATATTACCAATAATGCATCAACACTTCCACCTGATCATACATTAATCATACAGCAATATATTTTAACTGGCTTGTGTTCTATTACACCCATACACCCAACATATTGAAACCAGGGAACAGGGAGTACTTTATATACATAGATGTGAATGTAGATCTGAAATAATAAGATATCATCTAAATCTACTGATTCTAATTGAATATTATAAAGAAAGGTATACTCCCCTCGGGATGGGCACGTGGATGTCTCCTCCAGAATGAAAAATGTTAAGGAACAGCAATGATAGATATAATATATTTTGATTTTTTTCCAAACAAGTTGATGTTAATTTATTTATAGAAGAAAAAGCATATTGAAGAATAAAGTCATGTCTTGATTGTTGACTTAAAGTAATAATGAGCATGTGGCTCACACACACTGAGACAAATATCTGTGCATCCTCACATCAATACATTTAACTTTCAATGAATCTGCAATTGCTCAAAGCACATTATGCATTGGTTTCTGACCACCATGCATTTACGTAATCCAAGCAAATCTTACACTAACCATGGATCGTGCTTTCTTGACTCTTTTCCAGTATAATCATGAACCGCAGGTTTGGGAAGCTTGCCTGTGGCTGGTTTCACTGCACCAAAAAACCCTGGTCCTTTCATGAAGTTGCAAAAGCCAAAGACCGCGGAATTTAATTTCCACGGCTCAAAGCTAAACTGTTAAACCAGAAAGTAGGGTTTGAGCGGGGAAAGATTTCTCGATTCATGAACAAGAAACCTTTGTATCAAGTAAATATTAAAAGCTTTGGCAATGTGTTAATAGCAATTGAAAGTGTAATCAATTACTAAATACACTTTTAGTCGTTTGAATCTTTCCAAGAAACCACACTTTAATAGTGGCAAAAATCATTGCAAAAATAGTAGGGATGCACGATATTGGTTTTTTGAAACCGATACCGATAACTTCCTGCTTCTCAAGACCGATACCGATAACCGATAATAATATAATATATATATATATTAAATGTACCTGTAGTTTTTGCACACCTGGTGGTAAAAAAAAGACTAGTAGTGAGCAAATGACATGAGCATTACTACTATGAACAAAACAAAGCCAAGAACAGTTTTGACTCTCGTCAAGCGCCATCATTTCTATGATGAAGTTAGAGATCGTTTTAGCTCTGGGGTCGTCTCTGGCAAACTTCTTGCCTTTTTCAAAAGCCTCGTCGATAGGTAAAAGCCCCGGTGCCTTTGCAGCTGGCTTTGGATTCACCGCTAGTTTAGCAGCGCAGGCGTCTTCGTATGCTTTTAACACACCATCGTAGCGATGGCGATGTTTCAGTTAACTAATCAGGTTGGAAGTATTATAGCTCGTTGCCTTTTTCGCTCCTCGTGGAACTTCTGCATTGCATTTGTTAATACTAATAGCAAGCGAACTATCTAACTCTGAAACTTTGAAATAGTCCCATACTACCGGCGACATGTTTGTTTACTGTCCTGGCTTCACGGCCGCACACCATTTACGTCACAGCCAGGCATGAGTTAGGGAGCGCTGGATTTGTGAAAAACTCCCCTCTTCCTAAACCACTAATACCACAGTACTGGCAAAACGGGAGGAGCCGAGTGAAAAACAAGCGCCCCTCATCCCAATCCACCCACACCGCAGTATTTTTTTCTTTTTTTTACCCAAAAAATGTATTGTATATTCGGGGCTATTAATACTGGTATCGGGTTTATCGGGATGACGTCATAATTCCTAATATCGGGCCGATAATTATCGTGCACCACTAAAAAATAGTCTTGCTTGATCTACATAATACGATTACGTTGCATGACCTGCATGTATCTCTTTCACGAAACAAAATATTCAAAGAGGCCCTATTATGCTTTTATGGGTTTACTCTGTCCAGTAGTGTGTTATATAGGTCTTTGTGCATGTAAATGGTCTGCAAAGGCTATATCCCTTTGTTTCCTCTCCAACTACTTTTGCGTTAATCCTATGCGTTTAGCCGTTTTCGTCCTCGTGTGGCCGGGGCCTTAGTTTACTTATGTAACATAGTGACATCACTGTGGAACACTGCCAATTCGATTGGTAAGCGCCCCAACACATTGTACGTGATAGCCTAAAGGGCGGGACATCTCTAATTGGTTGACTAAGCTGCCAGCTAACCAATCAGAGCAGACTTGGCTCTGGTTTCAGACAGAGGGTGAAAAGAGGTGCTGCAGCACAGGCAGTATGAGACAAGTAAAGAGCTTTTTGAACATTAAACCATGGAGACATGTCCCAGTAGAGACACTACATACAAATACGAACCTGAAATTGAGCAAAAAAAGGCCCCTTTGAAAAGTCTTGCTTGATCTAGTAGCAACATGATTCAAAAAGTAATTTCATGATGCATTATTAATGATAATACTTTAGCACATACAGTATATCAAACTATTACTATTTAACTATTTATTATATGGTTACATTTGGCTTTTTCTGTTGACAATACTCCATTTAACCTCATGATAATTTTGAAGCCATGATTTATGTCATTTAAATTCCTTCATCATGGTTTTATTCATTTTTCTATGATGTGCGTGTTCTTCAACCGCAGAAAATACCGCCCGCTGATTGAATAGTAGTTTGTGTGATCCTCGTTTACATCCTGCCTGTCGATCAGCTGCTGAGCTTTAATAACCGCAGCACAGTGTGTCAGTGTGCCCTGATACCTGCGCAGGACTCACTGAGCGTGTAACAGACGCAGCGAGCCATCAGGAGCTCCTCTTTACCTGGGCCAGTGTAGCTTTCTGCTCAATGTGACCAGACCACGCTGCTTGTATTTCACATGTCATGCTGCCGTGGCCATGAGCTATGAATGCCTTTTTCTTTTTTACACTCCAGAGCGACACTTTTAATAACAACACAAAAGACAGAAGCAGCGATCAGGGTTTCCACGCAGTACAATGCACACATTCAAGGGATGTTTTTACTTTTTCCCAGAGCAGTCACGAGAAATCAAGTGAAGGTCAAAGTGTGGATGAAAAATGGATCTGTTGTGCTGTCCTCTAAAATAGAGGTTATTCATCTCTGGTGTGTAAATGTATGATTTGCTTACATTGTTATTGTGCAGGGAACAAGCACAAACACACTGGAGACGCAGCAGATACATGAACCCTCCCCTGTAATGTAGTTTTATAATGATGTACATTATTTAAATGTGTTTCCCTCTCTGCACACACGATAAGTAGGCCGACTGCAACCAAACTGAAATATTTTTTATTCAGCAGAAGAAGGCAAAGTAAGGAACTTCTGAGCCTACGTTTTATTAAATCTTTGTATCTGTAAACATGAAAGAGTGTTGAGATTACACACTACAAAGTCCTCCATATTAGGCGATGAGGGGTTGTTAATGCATGCATCCTCTGCTCAAGGGCACAGAGACCTTCAACTGGATTCAGCCGTCTTCATTGGCTGCACGTGAGGGAATACAAGTATATGCAACTTTTCTGCAGTAAAATGTCTTAAAACAACTATGTTTTATATTTAGATGATTTGTGTGTTTACAGTATCCAAGATGTTTTCCATCAGACCTAGATAAATAGGTAATTTGAGTCAAGATAACGGTACATACTGTATGGTTGCCTCTAATGGCATGTGCATCCCTCTTGTGTATGTGTTAGAGTTTTGGTTTTTATAATTTAACTTTTACATTTTAAGCCACAAGTTACTTTTACATCTAGGATGAATTTTAATTTCAAAATGCTTTATTCTGTGTTTCTTCTAGTTTGTTCACCTTATCCATCGCAAGCAATGCAAGGAACCTCATTGGAGAAAGACATGTATCCCCTTTATTCTGTGTTTTTAAAGTTTTTCATCAATTGGTCTACTTGTTTTGTTAAAAGGAGATTCTTCTGTGGATAATTTGTCTCCCAGTGAATTCAGAGAAACAAGCTGAGCAAACATTCGTTGCCAGTCATGTCCCAGCCTCTCCGGGACACCTGCCTTCTGTCGAGCGGTGTCGGAAAAACGCTGATTTGTTATGTAAAACTGCTTTACTCAGGATTTTTTACCGCTTTTAATCAGTGGGTCCGTTTGTTTTGGAGAGGAGACATCTGCGGATAATTCGGCTCCCGGTAAAAACCTCCTGAACAATGAACACTGGGGATATCTGACTGCGATGATGTCGATGATGGTGAAGAAATCATTCATCCCTTCTGCACTCAAACTTTTAAATTCTTGAAAAGGCTTTTAACTTGATTATTTATTTATTTATTTATTTATTTATTATTGTGATGCTTTGAACTATTTAAAGTGTAAATTGGAATTATCCACATCTGTGCTCCCGGGTGTATCTGTGTGTTTTCTTCTTGTATGTTCCTTCCTGTGTACATGACATAAGCTGCTGCTCATAACCAATTGCCCCTTCCGGGATTAATAAAGTTGTTGATTGATTGAAGACAACAACTCCCATGAACCCACGATTCCTCACGAGACAAACTCCGTCTTTGGTTCTTTTTTAGGCAGCCCTAGCAGTCGAAATGTACATATTGTATGTTTAAGAGGCTATAAAACCTGTATTTGACATGATGTTGTGGATTTTGTGACTCATTGATGTGTGTTGTGTCTCTGCAGGTGTGTGCCATCATGAGCCTGCTGCCTTCAGGCTCTTTGGAGAATCTGACATGTGAAGCCCTGCTCATGCTGTCCGGGAATGTCTCATGTAAGTCGACGTTTACAACGACAGCAACTATAACAAGCTTTTAAAACGGCCGGCAGTTACACCCTGCGTGTTTCAAGTTGCTCTACTTGTACTACTGGTGCTTCAATTGATTTTCAGTCTCTTCAGTTATACGACCACTAAATGCCAACTCTCCTTATGTTTATTGACAACATGTATTTTATATTATTCAGTAGTACAGTATGAGTTGTAACACTGAACCACAGTAAACACCCAGAGAGATATGCAAATCCAGTAATGATCTTCCTGTTTTTATTTGGCTCCTGGTTTCATACTCACAATGTTGGTATTATGCTGTCACATTGCTGTGTCATGACACAGCTAGGTGCCAATCTTCTGTCCTTTTAATGTCTCTGTTAAAGTGAGAAATATCCAACACAGACCACATGTCTGCGTTCATAGCTTTGTTTTCAGTTCAATAACCCCTAAATATTTTGTTTACAATATTAAAAATACAGAAAACCCTCTCATTGGAGAAGCTTCAACCACAGTTTGCCATTTTTGATTTATGAAATGACTCAAAAGATGATTTAAATACCTATCATAGTAGTTGAATAGTTTTTCTTGGAGTCAGTTGTTACAGTTGTAATTAAGTATCATAAGTTGGCACTGAAATAGAATCCGATTCTGCCGCTTGATCAATCAATCAATGTTTATTTATATAGCCCAATATCACAAATGTTACATTTGTCTCAGTGGACTTCACAGTTTGTACAGAATATCAGTATGACAATACGACACCCTCTGTCCTTAGCTTGATAACATCTTCCTTGATCAGGTATTTCCTGATTTAAATAAGGAGACTATCAATCTTTAGGTTCTGTTTCATTTAGACAAAGGTCTTTATTAAACTCTACATTGAGCACATTTTTAGATGAAAGAAAAACAAGCTTCGGTGTCGATTGGCACTGGAATTGAGTGTAAAAAAAGAAAAGTAATAAAACAAAAAAAACGTCCTTCTGGTAAAGGCCAAAATATTTGAAACTTAAAGGGGACCTATCATGCGAAATGGACTCTTGTACATCTTTTATACATGAATATGTGTCCCCGGTGTGTCAGTGAACTCACCAAGTGTCAGAAAATACAACCCTCTCTCTTTTCCTCTATACCCAAATCTCTAAAAAAGGGGGCTGTAACGGATCTGATACAGACTGATCCAGATTTGAATTATTTACTACGTCACAAAAGGGGTGCTCCGCTTAATGGTCAATTCTCCACCTATCAGGGGAATGAGAGGTTGGGCCACGGCCGGCCATTGCCGCTTGAAAGCGCTGGAGATGCTGTAGTACATATGCCAGGCCTGTAAGTGGCGCTGTAGTCTGCCACAAAAGCAGCGAAGAAGACTTCCCTTGCATGGTTGCTATGGTTGCCCTTCTGTTTAGTCTCCGCTGTGGCTCTTTTTCTCCCTCCCCGAGGCAAGCGTTTGCGCCTCCTGCTTTAAAACAAAGGAACAATGACTCTATATAATCATATGTACCCTACCACCTGTCCTCTGGACCCTATCCCTTCAAACCTCCTTCAGACTATCGCTCCTGATATTCTACCGTTTCTCACCCATTTCATCAACACTTCTCTAACTTCTGGTCACTTTCCAAACAGTCTCAAGGAGGCAAGAGTAAACCCTCTCCTAAAGAAACCCACTCTCAACCCGTCTGATGTTATAAACTACAGGCCTGTCTCTCTCCTCCCGTTCCTGTCTAAATCACTTGAACGCGCTGTCTTTAAACAACTCTCCTGTTATCTCAATCAGAACAACCTTCTGGATCCGCACCGTCTGGTTTCAAGGCAGGTCACTCCACAGAAACTGCTCTCATTGCTGTCACGGAGGAACTGCACACTGCCAAAACTGCATCCCTCTCCTCTGTCATCATCCTGTTGGACCTGTCTGCTGCATTCGACACGGTGAATCATCAGATCCTCCTTCGCACTCTCCAAAAACTTGGAGTTTCAGGCTCTGCACTTTCCCTCCTCACCTCATACCTGAAAGACCGTACCTACAGGGTGACTTGGAGAGGGTCTGAGTCCGACCCTTGTCAATTAACTACGGGGGTCCCTCAGGGCTCTGTTCTTGGTCCCCTCCTCTTCTCCTTGTACACAAACTCGCTCGGATCAGTCATTAGCCCGCATGGTTTTTCTTACCACTGCTACGCTGACGACACCCAATTAATTCTGTCCTTTCCCCGCTCAGAGACCCAGGTCGTCGCACGCATCTCTGCTTGTCTAGCTGACATCTCTCAGTGGATGTCTGCTCACCACCTCAAGCTCAACCTTGACAAGACTGAGCTGCTCTTCCTCCCAGGAAAAGATTGTCCAACTCTTGACCTGACAATCAACATCGGCACCTCAGTTGTTTCCCCGACTCAGACTGCAAGGAATCTGGGTGTGACCCTAGATAACAACCTGTCCTTCACTGCAAACATCGCTGCTACAACCCGTTGCTGCAGATACACGCTTTACAACATCAGGAAGATACGTCCCCAGCTGACTCAGAAAGCGACTCAGGTTCTGGTCCAGGCTCTCGTCATCTCACGCCTAGACTACTGCAACTCCCTCCTGGCTGGTCTACCTGCATGTGCCATCCGACCTCTGCAGCTCATCCAGAATGCAGCGGCTCGTCTGGTTTTCAATCTTCCTAAATTCTCCCACACCACTCCGCTCCTCCGCTCCCTTCACTGGCTTCCGGTAACTGCTAGAATCCACTTCAAGACACTGGTACTTGCTTACCGTTCTGCGAATGGATCTGGCCCTTCCTACATCCAGGACATGGTTAAACCGTACACCCCAGCGCGTGCACTACGCTCTGCATCAGCCAAACGACTCGTTGCGCCCTCGCTGCGAGGGGGACCCAAGTTCCCATCGGCGAAAACACGTGGGTTTGCTGTCCTGGCTCCAAGATGGTGGAATGAGCTCCCCATTGACATCAGGACGGCAGATAGCTTGCACATCTTCCGGCGCAAACTGAAAACTCATCTCTTTCGACTCCACTTCGAGCGTTAGAACGATTAACGAAGCACTTTTATACTAATAAAGGACTGGATTACCTAAAGCCAGTTGAGTAGCACTTGAAATGTTTGGCTCTATGAAACCTGATATACTTATATGATTCTGTTTTCTTCAAGGTTGTGTCTTCCTGGTCGAATGTACTTATTGTAAGTCGCTTTGGATAAAAGCATCAGCTAAATGCAATGTAATGTAATGTAATGTAATATGTAAGGGATAATGTGCAGCGACGCGGTCATTATGGGGAAAAGAACACCGACAGGCTGATCAGGAGCCCGACACGAAGCGGAGGGATCTAGATTGGCATGAAGGTGTTATTTGAAGGCTTATTACATGGCCACATTCTCAACAAAGTAACGATATGACTCCCAATATTAATTGAAATGCTTTTATGGATTAAGAAAATGATTTTATTGATTTAAAAAATAGTTGTATTGATTTCAATTGACATGCATCCACTAAGAAAAATAGTCCGTTGTTACTGTTTGAACTAACGTAGCAACGGCAGGAACTGCTTCGATAGTGTTTTTGAGGAGCTTTTTGATTACAGATTTGAAAACATCGTTGCTTGCTTTAACAGTAGCACAATTCATTATGTCAAACCTTGGAAAGTATCTAGATATCCCTGCCCTAACGCCAAAGTAACTGGCAACTGAATATGTGTCGCCGTTTGATGTCTATGTCTGGACCGCTGCGTAAAAAGGAGGGTTTCTGCCCCATTACTTCTCTTCTTACTTCTATAAGAATAAAACACGGTGGACGGAGATCTCTTTTTCTCCCCCTCTTCTCCCCGCTGCAGCCTAGCTGCTGATATCAGAGCACGCTCCCCTCTCCTGCAGGGGGGCGTGGTCAGCTGCAGCTCACAGAATCAGCCCCCTGCAAAAACAGCGCTGGAAAGAGCAAATAGAGCGAAATGAGGCATGGCTAAAATGCAGAATCTGTTTGGTATTTTGAAAAAAAAACTATATTTATAAATTTTATATACTTTATATAGGTATGGCCCTACAATATATTGTTCAAATATAGCATGATATGTCCCCTTTAAGCGTAAGCCAAGAGCTATTTTCTCAGTGACGAAAGCTCCTCCAAAACTATAGAAGATATAATTAAACCATTTTCACAGGCTGAGTCATAGTTATAAGATATAAAACTCCCATTAAGACGGCCAACAAGTCAAATATAAAACTGTGAAAGTATCCTGACTGGGATTATTGAAACGGAATTTTAATGTAATGGCATTTATTACCCAACACTGGTCATAAACGTCTTATTTATTTTGCAAATTCTCCTTTTAAAGCTCATTATTAAAAGAATAACAACTTGATTAATAGAAACATAATTGCTTGGCTTAAATAACAAGCAAAATCACAATCAGTTGGAGAAAAGTAATTCAGTAATAATTAGTCTTTGTCAAAAAAACATAAAACATGTCCTTTTAGGCATTCAAGCAAACCAATGTTGTGGTTTTGCTTGTGGGGGTGTTTCTAAAATCAAAATTTTGCTTTTGATTTATTTCTCACCACAAGCAGGTGTGAAAACATGCCTTTGCAAAATAATGTGAAAGCATGAGACTGAGGCGTCAACTTTGCCCCCAAGAACAATCCTTATTTCTGGATCTTTTTTTATCTAAGTCCTCTTGAGTTATTGCAGAATTAATAGCCTTCCCCCCAGGGGCATGTCTTCATGCATATATGCTGCTACCGCCTTGATATTGCCCAGGGAAAGGTCTGTCACCAGTGTTTACCGTTGCCCTTTAATGCTCACCCTTTTGTAGCTGTTAAGCTGCATCTAATGAGACTTTCATAGCCCTCCTTTCAGTGTGCAAACAGAGATTGAGGTTATTGATGATTCTCTTCTTCCATCTTGGGTTGCAGTCCAGTCGCTGGCCGCCTCCTGGAACCAGACCTTGAGCAACGCCACAAGCCAGTGGAGCGGTGAGTGTGTGAAACTGATTACCTACGCAGTTACTACAGTACAAAGCACAATTGTTGTGTTCTACCCCACGAGGGAAACAAGTTTGATCTGAACTCGTATTATAAGTACTTACATCAAAGAGCTGAACAGGGCTTGAAATAGATTTGGCGACTCTCAGTAGGAGACCACCCTCAGGAGTAATCATTAAAATGTGTGCACACAAACGGCTTAATCAGCTCCAGGATTTATTGCCAAGATCATTGGAGCATTGTTAGGATTTCACCATGGGCTGTATGTAGTCCCGAGCCATCTTAGGAATGCGTGTTTGTGTCTTTACATTTCTGTCCTCACGCTTCAGGCCCGGGGCCCTCCTGTGACACCTCCATCGATGGCATCGGCACCTGCTGGCCCCGAAGCAGCGCGGGCCAGATGGTATCACGACCCTGTCCCGAGTGGTTCTACGGTGTCAGATACAACACCACCAGTAAGTCTTCATTGTCATCTCCTGCCAGAAAAACAGAAAAACAATAGATTTAAAGTCAGATTTACAGTAATTAGACTTCACCACCTTCCCCCCTTTACTCGGCTTCCCCTTGGGCAAATCCTGTTTACACAATTGTTTATACAGAAATTAGCATGAGCATACAAATTAGCAGGAGACACAGAATAAAAACAACATGTGTAAAGTAGGACTGCTGCGGATAATTCACGGTGAAGAGCGAGAAGAAAGAGTGTTGATGCACCGAAGACAAGACAAGCGGTACACCCGCTGTGAGAGATGTGTGTGTCAGGGTCTAATAGAAAGCTGGTATTATGTTACAAAATAAAAGCGTAAACCGCTGCCAACTGAGAAGCTTAAGCCTGTTAAAACGATCGGAACAGGAGAAAAACCTCTTTACTGGTGTTTATTCCTAACGTGAGCAGCACTAACATTCAAAATGACTTGTTGAAACATGATCTGATTCAAATAATACAATTATCGGACACATTTATGCATGCAGTTTGTCTGTAAATATTTAATAAACCTTTTTAGACTGTGAAAGTACAAAGTGTTTCAGATTTTTTTTTTTAGCCATTCTTGCACTAGGGCTCCAGGGATTGCAGTTAGTCCTTTCTCCACTTTCTCCGGACTATACCAACAACAAAATCATGGTTTGTCACGACATTTTATACAGATATTTATAGTCCACAGAGGATGAATCCTACTTTTCAGCTAGTCAAACCATAAGGTCAATATTTGTTGTTTAGAGTGAAATATCTCATTTTTAAATTTGGTAAAAACGTTGTCTTCACTTACCACGAGGTAGGGCGCAGACCTTGTGGTGAAAACAACTAGTTAGTTAAGTTTCTATTGTTACCCCTGCTGAAAAAACCAGCTTGAACCAACTCCAGCCTAATATCTACTGGCTGGTCAGGCTGGCCAGTAGATATTAGGCTGGAGTGGTTGGCTGGTTTAGAGGCGTTTTGGACACTTTAGCTGGCCAGGATGGCTGGTTTAGCCACCAGCTGAACCAGCCATCCTGGCCAGCTAAAGAAAATAGCACACCAGCATAGTATACCTGCATAGCATACTGGTATGTTGGGCTGGTCACCAGCATTATTAAATATACCATGCTGGAAGCTTACCAGGATTCCAGGTGACCAGCATACATTGTTTAAATACTGGTATGATTATTTAAACTAGAGAAAATACATATATTACAAAGATTCATTGAGTCATGTATTCTTGTATCTACCAAAATACATACAGTATAGTGTTCATAACACTATTTCAATTCAATAAATAGCAATAAATAGCTATAAAATACACAGTAACAATACAATAATTATACAAATAACAACCAACCTGCAAATCAACCTATACATAAAAATAAATATATTATCTAAAACGGGTGCATTTGATTTAAAAATAAAAGTAATAAATAGAATTCAATATGTAAATGGTAACAAAAACAGTAACACTATGTATGATAAGAATAAGGCAACAAAGAAAGTGTTTTTATTGTTCATGTCCATAGAGTGGCGAAGTGCCTCCCATTCCGGGGGAGCTCCATGGGACCTTATTTCGAAAAAAAAAATGTATTGAAGTCAATGGAGAGAGAAAGATTAGCTTTCGATCCCGTTTGAATTGTGCCACGAATTATACATATTCAATTTAAAAGATAATTTTGCAAGTCAAAAAAAAAAAAGTGTCATAAAACTGTGAAGTAACACATTTGTTTGTGTGAAACGCTCAATGAACTACATCTCTGGTCTCGCAGAACAACACACGCCACCAAGATGGCCGTCACTACTGTCTTGTCAACAAAACGATTGTCTACCCTCACTATCACCACAATGAAACACGTCCAGAAGAATGTCATGCAAAGCTGCCTGCCTGCCTTCCTTTGATTCTCTCTGAACTGCCTGGTCTTTTTAATGTTTAATGTCAACCATTTGTGCAGATAGCATGAAGTAGAAAAGATCAGCGATCGCCGATGCTAGCGTTAGCATTTCTCCCCCGGGCTTAAATTGTGTATTATAGAATGATCACACCGGTGACAGTACTCTTCAAAGGGTTCACGAAATATGACTACTACTCTTACTGTTTAACATTTTGGGTTACTTAATGTTACTTCATGTTAAGGCTAATAAAAATGACAAGGCTGTAATGCTAACTAACGTGCTAGCTACTAGCTAGGTAGCTAACTTGATCCAGCCACTTCTGGTCCTTTCATCAGACAGGAAGCGAAAGACCGAGCAAGACCCATTGCTGGTATGATAACAACCTGGTACTAAGCACACAGGCATCTTGTTAAAGTTATCTTATCTTAGCCAGGGCCATATAGATAGATTATATCTATATGGCGCTGATCTTGGCTATCTCTTAGTGGAGGAAAACAATTGTGACATCACTTACGCGACTGGGATTTGTAGTCTTTCTAGTTGCGTATTTTTCATAGTCTTATATTTCAACAGTTTTACGACAAACTGTGACTTTTTTGACATGGAAATTATTTTTTAAGATTGACAAACATCATATGTGTAATTCGTCGCACAATTCAAACGGGATCGAAAGATAAGTTTTCTCTCTCCATTGACTCTCTTCATTGACATTATTTTTCCAAAATAAGGTCCCATGGACCGGAAGTAGATGGGCGGGACTTCACCACTCTATAATGTTTCCCGTTGTGTAGCGTCCAGCCTTTCCCAATCTGGCCTGCATTTCTGTCTGTTGAAGCCACTTCTTGAAGCAAACTGAAAATAAATGGACAGATATAAGTACACTAGCTGTAAAAAGAAAACTTGACATCTACGTTAACATTTGGGCTGCTGTGGTGGCCAGAACTTGACCATTAAAGTATGTAAAATACATTACAAATGACAGTTGGTTGGCATAGACGTTACAGTCAACAATTGCTTAAGGTGAATTACAATGGCAAAAACAAATAGCGCTAGTGTACACAGTGCAGCTGTATTATCTGGGAAATAGAAGAATCGGATCAGGATTCATTATTGGCAGACAATCAATATCAAATGAATCGGATCATTATTAGCATCAGTATTTGATCACCTTTGTCGACTTGTCGCAGCCTAAATACAAAGAGAACTCCTACCACTCTTACTTCTAATAAGCCTTGGTAGAACTAGTGTCTGAGTCATAATAGGGTCCAGAACTGACTGAAGACATGTGGAACAGAGTCCCATACAGGCATGGTTCGATGTACAGGAAACTGGAACTTTGAACACGTGTTTTCATCTTTCCTGCCTGAAGATTCACAAGTTCTTGATCAGGTGTTTGATGTGGGCTGGCATGATCCTTCCTGCAGTGATGAATAAAGAAAACAAAGAAGACATTATTAATAATAGTAATGATGGTAACAGCAATAATATTAGTATAACTATTTATATAGCACTTACACAATTGCAAAGTGATTCTCACAACAACAATAAAGAACAGAACAATATCAACAATAAAAAACAAATTATTATAGGAATGTTAAGAGACAAAGAAATTATAAACATTCTGAGAGGCCGACTACAAAAGCTAGACTCAATGGCTCTTGATGACATCAATGAGCAGTCCCAATAGATGCTGTTGTATACAAATAAATAGAATAGGTCCAGATTTCTTCTATTTTGTGTTGGATGATTTGTTTTATTGATTGCTGATGGATGTTAAGATGTGTTTTACAATTATAACAAAAAGATTATTGTAATTGGAATAAAAAAGATTGCAAATCATAGTTTTAATAAAATCACTATGAGTTTATTCAACAGCAGTAAAGCATTAAATTGCTAAATTAACGTACACTGAACTGTAAAACCACTTACCACTATTTAGGAAAGGCTCTGATCAGAAGGGTTGACTAGTAGGACAGCAAAGAGGTCTATGTCATGCCATTGGTAGATGTTACACCTGAAAGTCAAACGGCTCCGTGTGTACGCCCTATACACCATAGCCCCGCCTCTCCCCACCTCTCCCCGTTCCGAGTGTTTCGAGCCAGGTCCCGGTATCTCGCAGGACAGTGCACCCGGCAGGAGCCTCCAGCAGACCCCCCTGCATGGCAGAGTTTTCGTTAGCCGGTAATTACCAGACTATGACCGGTAAAATATGCTGAAGACCGGCAAATCTAAATCTCTCCAGTCAAAATGTCGCTTATTGTTTAGGTGTCCTTTGACACGCAGGCAGTCATATCATTAGCTAGAACTAGCTAGATCTGATCGATATGGACATAAACGCGAGTAAAGTCTAATCCGACAGGAGAGAGAGATCAGAGATCAGCTGCTGCTGACGGAGACACGCAGCTCTGCATGATCACCTGCAGCTCCGAGTGCACACTTGAACACACTTCAAGTTAGATCATCACACTTAGCTATTTTAATTACCTCTCAAACTACCTAAACTAGCTATAAATATGTTTATTTTGACTGTCGGGTCACTCATTACTACATACATTTGACCGGCACTTTTCTAATTTTGTCCGGAAGATTTCAACTTTAACGGACATGTTGACCTAACGGAAACTCTGCCGCACTGTTCCCTCGTCCCATGGAAGAGGCGGAGAGGTGGGTCTTTTTCATCTGCTGGTGGACTACCGGGGAGAACGTCCTGCTCGGGAGCCAGGCTCAGAGTTAGTGGCAGTGGGTGCGGTGCACCTGCCTTTTACAGCAGGAGCACACGCTCGCCTCGGGGAGGGATAAAAAGAGAAACAGAGGCCGCCGAAACAGCCAGAGCCCTGCCTCTCCCCACCTCTGCTGCTCACCCAAATCTACAGCTCCTCTAACACAACCATCAGCAACAAGTGGACATGGAGAACTACATGAACTACATGTTGCTAAATCTACCGCACAGAATAAACAGAAGGGCAACCAGGCAACCATGGCAACCATGCTCGGGAGGTCTTATTCGCTGCTTTTGGTGTATTTCGTGGTGGAAGTACAGCGCCACTTACAGGCCCGGCATATGTACTACAGCCAACCTGGTCTCACCAGAATGCGTGA